CTGGGCTCCCAGGCGTTGGTGGTCCGGGGTGGACCCAGGCCTACGCTGTGCCTGGGCTCCCCCGCTCCATTTAATTTTGGCAGGGGGTATAGCATCTCCTATTTTATTCCTGATTTTAGCAGTTTGTTCTTTCTGTCAATTTTGCTAGGATTGTTAATTTTATTGATCCTCTCTGTTTGACTTTCTCTATTTTTTTTCACCTCCATATTAATTTATTTCTGATATTATATTTTCTGTGTCTTTTTGATTGCTTTTAGTTTATTTTGCTCTTCTTCTTCTTCTTTTGACTTTGTTATTGATTAAGGAGTTTAGATTATTGATTATTCTGTTTTCTAATATATTCATTTAATGTGACAAATTTTCCTTTTAGAGCTGCTATGTCTGTGTTCCACAAATTTGGATATGTTGTGCTTTCATTTCATTAGATATATTTACTTTTTATTTTCCTTAMAACTTCCTTTTTTGATCCATAGATTATCTGGGGTGGTTTTTTAAATCCCAAGTTTTAGGAGATTTTCCTTTTATCTTACCACTATTGATTTCTCATTTGATTCCATTATGATTAAAAAACACAGTTTGATCTCTCTTCTTTGAACCCAGTATGACTTATCTTCTTTTAAATGTTGTAAGATTTGTTTTATGGTTCAGGATGTGTATTCTATGGGCATTGGGTAGAGAGTAATTAAGATTTTTTTTTTTTAAAAGCTAATGATGTTGTTGGGTTTGTGTATTTTATTGCTAATTCACTATCTTTTTAGTTTATTGAATTTTGGATTTGTTTCTCCTTTCTGTTCTAATGGTATTTGCCTTACCTAATTTGCAGTCTTACTTTTTTCTATATAAACATTTATGATCACTATATCTTTTTGTTGCAGTCATTATATAATATTGCTATGTGTTTCTGGTAATTTTCTTTGCTATGAAGTCTGTTGCATATAATGGTATAGCCTCTCCTACTTTGTTTTTGATAATGATTGCCTGATAGATTATCTTTTTCTATCCTTTTACTTTCAATTTACCTATATTACATATTTGAAATAAATTTCTTATAGACATCATATATTTGAGTCATGTTTTTAATCCCGTATTTGCTGATTTCTGCCTTTGAGTTGTAAATATAATTTGTATTTAACATTTATTTATTTTTTATTTTATTTTATTTTTTTTAAGAGTTAATTTTTAACATTTATTTTTTTAGTTTTCGGCAGACACAACATCTTTGTTGGTATGTGGTGCTGAGGATCGAACCCAGGCCGCACACATGCCAGGCAAGTGCGCTACCGCTTGAGCCACATTCCCAGCCCAACATTTATTTATATATTACTCAGTAAATTGGCTACTGTTTGTTTGGGTTTTTTTTTGCTCTCTTTATTTTTGTTTCTTCTTTATCTTTTTAATACCTTCTTGCTGTTTACTCAATGTTTTTTATGATTCTAYTCTAATACATAAAGACATATATATATTTAGTTTATCTCTGTAACTTTTTGAGGATTTACTCTACATATTGCACTCTATACAAATAACTTATCATAGTCTACTGATGCCAACATTTTAACAGTTCCAGGAAACCTTATCTACCATTACAGTGTTTCATAATTCCCTATTTGTCTTAAATATTTCTAAATATTTAGATATTGAAACATTTAGATATTTAGATATAGCACTACATCAGACAATGTAATTTTTCTTCAAACATAAACTCAAAAGTAGGAAGTTATATTTTATTTAATTCTCCCCATTGTCCTTTTTCTCCTTTCTGATGCTCCAAAATTCCTTTTTATCACATTTTCTTCCTATTTAGGGGAATTTCTTTAGCTATTCTTGGGGCTTTTTTTCTCTTTGGGGGGGGGAGAGACATTCTCTTAGTATTCTGCAGTCTAAGAATATCTTAATTTTCCCTTATTTTTATAGGATATTTTCACTGAGTGTAGAATTCTGGGTTGACACCTCTTTTCATTCAACATTAAAAGAATGTGGGCTACTTGCTTCTAGCATCTCTGGTTTCTGATAAAAACCCTACTGCTACTGAAATTATTTTCCCTCTATAGATAAGATATAATTCCTTTTTCACTAGATCCCTAGATTTTTTTCTTCTATTTTCAATAGTTTCAATATGATGTTTCTTGTGTATATTTCTTTGGGTTTATTCTCCTTCAGCTTCATTTAGTTTCTTTAATCTTTTGTTGTTAAGTTTTCAGCTATCATTTGTTCAGGTACTTTTTCCATCATACCTTCTTTCTCCTCTTCTAAAATGCCAATGATAATGTTATACCTTTTGTTACAGTCCCACAAGTCCCTGAATCTCTGTTCATTTTTCTCACACTATTTTCTCTGTTTTAAAAATTAGATTGTTTCTATTATACTTTCTTCAAGTTTATTGATTTTTGTCCCTCTACTTCTCTCCATTCTGTTGTTGAACCCCTGACTTGTTGAGTCCCTGACTTGAGATTTTGTTCATTGTATTTTTTCATTTATAAATTTTCCATTTGATTCTCTTTATTTGCTAAGATGCTCTATTCCTTTGATGATACTTCCTAATTTTTGTATGCTTCAAGTGTGTTCATAAATACTGTTGAGGCATTTTTATGATGCCATTTTGATTTTTTTAACAGATAAAATCTACCATCTCTCAGTGTTAGTATCTATTCTTTTTTGTTTGTTTGTTTTTTAATTCAAGTTGAGATTTTTTTGGTTCTTGGTGTAGTGAATGTCTTTCAATTGATACCTGGATATTTTATGTATTGTGTTAGGATTCAGATCTTTTTAAAACTTTCCATTTTACTAGGCTTTTTTTTTTTTTTTTTTGGACACTATGCTAGCAGGGGAAAATATGAGTCAATGCCTGATTTCTACTAAGTGGGAATGGAAGTCCAGATATCCCACTTGGTTTCCTCTGATATCCTCATCACTGCTGAGTAGTAATGGATGCTCTGAGTTCCATTGATACCTTGTGGCTAGCAAGTATAGGATTGTCTTATTACAGAGTCACATGTAGCCTCCATTGACACTACAGAATGGAGGTTGTGTTCATTACTGCTGGGCAGTGATAAAAATTCTGATAATCCATTAGTCCAACACTGATTACTCCAGCAGGGTCGGGAAGGGAAAATTTGTTACTTCCAGATGAGTGTAGAATTCTAGGCTCCCCAACTGTTCTTTTCTGATACTTTCTTTATGTTTGGTGGAGATGATTATCCTGACTTTATTGTGCTTTCTCTGATACTGCACATAGTAGAAGGTCAGAGGATTGAGGTACCTTGTTACAAAACAAATAAAACCTTTTCCAAGCCACCAAGGCGAAGTGGGAGCCTAGACTTTCATACTGACAAAGTTGTTTTGTTTTTGTAGTGTTTGGCGGGAGTAAAATGATTGTCATCTAAAATCTCTCTTTCATGGATGTTCCTTTTCTGGTCCTTTGGATAAAGAGAATAGGCTTCTGTGGGCATTTTTGTCTATGCCTAATGGCGTTTCCAAATTGCTGGCTTGGGAATGTATGAAACAAAAAGAATACCCCAGGATTTCACCACTGTATCATTCCTTGCTTCTCAAGTATCCTCCTACTTGTTTTCCCCTATTCTTTCTTCCCTTCAAGGGGACTCCTTATTTTTTATTACATATAAAATTTCCAGTGTTTTTAGTTGAATTTAGCAGGTGGAATAGGGTAAAGTTTTCACAGAAGTAGTAATACCTGCCAGCCCTTTTTATGTTTTTCTTTTTGTTTGTTTGTTTGTTTGTTTTTTAAGAGACAGGGCCTTGCTAAATTGCTTAGGGCCTCAATAAGTTGCTGAGGCTGGATTTGAACTTCCAATCCTCCTGCCTTAGCCTCCTGAGTCACTGAGATTACAGGCAAGCACCACCACACCCAGCTTCCTTCATTCTATTTAAGAGTTTATTAAACAGAGTAGTAGGCAGAATTATGGTCCCCCAAATTTGTACGCATTCCAATCCCTGGAGTCTCAGAGTACCTTACATGGTAAGAGGATTAGTGTGAGTACTTAAAACTGGAGGACCTTTCTTAGCTTGGTCTGGGACAGAGATGTACTGACAGAAGAAGGTCTAATATGCAATGTTTCTGTGTTTGAACATGGAGGAGAGGTTGTGGGAAACCTCTAAGGAGCTGAAAAAGTCCAGGAAACAAATATTTCTCTTGAGTTTTCAAAATGAACATTGTTTATATCAACTCCTTGGTTTTGGTTCAGACCTCTAACCTACTGAACTAGAAGACAGTAAATTTGCCTTGTTTTAAGTCATTGTACTTTTTTTATAGCAGTAATAAAAAAAACTACTACAGAAGTGTAGTGTTTCCATAAAACAATCATCAAGTCAGAATTTTATTATATAAAGACTGATAATTTTACTTCAGTGTTAAGAAGTTTTAATGTATCACCCCAAGTTCAGTTGTTGGAAACATAATCCTGAAATCCATATTAATGATATTTGGAAGTTTGGCCTTTGGTAGATAATTAGAGTTAGATGAGATCATAAGGTTGGGGCCCCAATGGTAGGATTAGTGGCTGTATAGGAGATTGAAGGCAGACCTGAGTGCATGCCTCCTGTCTCTGGCCATGTGATGCCTTCTGTCATGTCATGAAACAGTAAAAAAATACCCTCTATAGGTGAAGCTTCTCAAACTTGAACTTAACAGCCTTCAGAATTGTAAGAAATAAGTTTATTTTCTTTATAAATTTCCTAGTTTATGGCATTATGATATAACAACAGAAAACACACGAAGGCAGATACACATTATTTCAGGAGGTTATCATTACTTCCCTTTTGAAAAACAGCTTTTTTTTATGGTTAAGAAGTCCAAAACAAGTCAATATATGTTTATATTGCATTTATTTATACAGAAAACATTTTAATAAATGTCTGTTAAAGTTGTTGGAAACTGGAGGAAAACAAATTGATATGACAACATGTCATTTTTGAATTTTTAGAATGTGTGAACCATCTAGTATTATTTAGATATTTTATTATTGTATCATGTTTGTATTTTGCAGGTAGTGAAGCTAGTTCTCTTATGGATATAGAAAATGTAATTATGTCTAAAATCCATGATGATGAAGAGGACCACTCAGATGCAATATTAAAATCTGATAAATTTCATCAAGATTTATTTTTCATGGAACGTGTTCTAATGGAAAATATATTTCAACCCAAACTTGCAGCTTATCGTCAACTTCCTATTTTAAAAGGTATTTTTAAAAAATGTTTCTGTTTAGATAAACTCAGATAACTTAAGAAATTTAAAAGGTATTTTTACATATTTCTAAATCTAATCTCCAAGCTGGGTTGTTACTTATTAGAGGACATGTTTATACAGTTTTCAATACTAAACATGTAAGTAGCAGTGAAGTCCAGGTTAGGGAACCAACAGAAGGTTGTCTTAGATTCAAAACTTCATAAGCATGTATAAGGAACTGAACAGACCTTTCTCAAAAGAGAAGTACAAATAGTCAACAAATATATGAAAAATGTTTAACTTCTCTAGTAACTAGAGAAATGCAAAATAAAACTACATTGATTTTTGATCTCACTCCAGTCAGAATGACAACTATCAAGAATACAAGTAACAACAAATGTTGGCATTCCCCAGAAAGAATACAGGTAACAACAAATGTTGGGTTCTGCAGAAAGGGAATACTCATACATTGTTTKTGGGACTTAGGATTGGTGCAAACCATGCTAGAAAGCAGTATGGACATTCCTCAAAAAACTAGGACTGGAACCACCATTTGACCCAGTTATCCCACTCCTTGGCATATATCCAAAGGATTTTAAATCATCATGCTACAGTCACATCAATCTTTATAGCAGCACAATTCACAGTAGTTAAGCTTTATAATCAACATAGATGCCCATCAACAGAAGAATGGATAAAGAAATTGTGGTACATATACACAATGGAATATTACTCAGCCATAAATAAGAATGACTTTATGACATTTGCCAGTAAATGGTTGGATATGGAGACTATCATGCTAAGTGAAATAAACCAGTCCCAAATAACCAAAGGTCAAATGTTTGCACTGATATGTAGAAGCTTAACCACAATAAAGGGTGGGAGGGGAAGAAGAGAATTTTTTTATATTAGACAAAGAGATATAAAAGAAAGGAAAGGAAATAGGAATAGGAAAGGCAATAGAATAAATCTAACTTGATTTTCCTGTGTACACATGAAAATACCTAAGTAAATCCCACTATCATGCCGATTGGGGTCTGAATCAGAATAAAATATATTCCATGTTTGTATAATTTTATCACAATGTATTCTACTGTCAAGTATAACTAAGGAGAATCTATTCCAAAAAAAAAAAAAAAAACTGCCAAAAAACCTTTCTAAGCATCTTTGGCTCTTTATATTTCTGCATTCAATTAGTTGCTTACTTTCACAGTATCTCTCATATTCAGTCTCCCTTTTCCATTGCCATTGATACTTTTCAGTTTTTGACTTTTATTACCACTTCCTAGTTTTATTTCAGGGGCATTCTTTGTTTAATGTTTAATCCAAGCTTTTGCCCACTGTAAAATTGTCTCTTTAAAGATCATGTTGTTGAAGCTTACTTTTATATATTTTGCATATAAACTCTTTTTCAGTACATATATTACAAATATTTTCTCTAACTCTCTGGCTTATCAATTTATTATTTTTTATATCTCTTGATCAGGCTAGGGGTAGCTGAAAAAAATCTCGTGATGAGCAGGTTTTCATTTTGATAAAATATAATCTATTAATTTTTTTAAGTTAATTCTTTCCATGACCTCTCTAAAAAATCTTTCCTTGTCCCAGGGTTGTAGTGATTTCCTTTTAGGCTTTTTCCTAAAAAGCTGCATAGTTTTAGCTTTTATGATTATGTCCATTATATATTCTGATTTTTTAATGTTTTTATTCTTAATAAATTTCATTGTATATATTTAAGATATACAACATATTATGAGATACATATATAGTGAAATAGTTATGGTAAGATAAATTACTGTCACATTATCTATTTTGATTAATTTTTGTGAGCAGAGTAAGATAAATTTCAAGTCTGTCAGTCTGTCTGTCTGTCTGTCTCTCTCTCTCTCTCTCTCTCTCTCCCCCCCCCTTGATGCAGTTCTTTCAGCATAATTTTACAATTTTTTCAGATTTATTAATTTGAACTTTATAGTGATACTTAGTAGTTGGGTTTATCCCAACTCATAAATGCATGGAAATGGATTTCAGTCCATTATCCCCCACTTTTTCCTCTCATCCTCCCTCCCCTCTCTTATTTTTTTTCTTCGGTTCTACTTGACTTCCTTTCACTTGTCTAATAAGTTATATTTGGTTGGTTCTTTATATTATTCTATCCTTCCCTTCCCCTTTCCTTTTTTTAGCATTAGATTCTGCATATAAGAGAAAACATTTAACCTTTGCATTTCTGAGTTTGGCTTATTTCCCTTAGCATTATATTTTCCATTTTCATCGATTTACTAGAAAATACCATAATTTCATTCTTTTTTTATGGCTGAGTAGAATTCTATTGTATATGTGGACCATAGTTTTTTATTCTATTCATCTATTGATATGCATCTGGATTGATTTCATAATTTAGTTATTGTGAACTATGCTGCTACAAACATTGACGTGGCTATGTTGCTGTAGTATGCTAGTTTTAGATCTTTTAGGAAAATACCAGAGAGTAGGATAACTAGGTCATATGGTGATTTCATCTTTAGTTCTTTGAGGAATCTTTATGCTGCTTTCTAGAGAGATTGTACAAGCCTTTCCCACTGACAATGTACAAATGTAACTTTTCCCAAAACCTAGCCAGCATATATTCTTGATTGCCATTCTGGCAGAATGAGATGAAATCTTAGTATGGCTTTGATTTGTATTTTCCTGATTGCTAGAGATACTGAAAATTTCTTCATATATTTGTTGGCTATTTGTGTTCTTTTGAGAAGTTTCTGTTTAGTTCTTTTGCCCATTTATTGATCTTTTTTAAWTGAGTTCTTTGTATATTCTGGATGTTAATCTCCTATTGGAGTAGTAGCTAGCCAAGATTTTGTCTCATTCTGTAGGCTCTCTCTAAACACTCTTAATCACTTTCTTTGCTGGTGCAGAAGCTTTTTAGTTTGATGGCATCCCACTTATTGATTCTCAATTTTATTTCTTACACTTTGAGGGTCTTGTTAAGAAAATCAGTGCCAGCACCTATATGATGGAGTGTTGACCCTATGTTTTATTCTTGCATTTGTAAAGTTTCTGATTTAATTTCGAAGACTTCAATCCACTTTTATTTGAGTTTTGTGCAGAGTGAGAGAGTGGGGTCTAATTTCATTTTTCTACATATAGCTATCCAGTTTTCACAGCATCATTTGTTAAAAAGACCCATATTTTCTCCAAGATATATTTTTGTCACCTTTATCAAAGATGGTTAGGATGTGAATTTGTCTTTGTATCTTTCATTTAGTTCCAGTGGTCTTCATGTCTGTTTTGATGCCAATACCATTAGCATAATTTTTAAAACAGTATTTGTATTCCCCCATTAATTTATTTGACACTTGTTCCAAAATCACATTACCATGTAAGTTTATTTCTGCACTCCATTTCTTGCTGTTTTTTATTCTATAGCAATACACTATTGTTTACTGTAGCTTTATAGTAAATTTCAGTTAGAGTACTCCTGTAAAACTTTTACTACATGACCTTGACTATTCTAGTTGCTTTTTATACCATATATGTTTTATAGATCAGTTTGCCAATTTCTACTAGAAACTTGGCAAAGATTTTGATTTAGGTTACATCGAATCTTGAATCGATGGAAAGAATTGACAGCTTAATAATATTTAGTATTTTAATCTATGAACATTGTTTCAACATTCATTTCATCTATGATCATATTATTTAGGTAAGAATTTGTAAATATCAGCAATTAAAAATATTTTCAATGTTTCCCTTTATCTTTTTAAATTTTAGCCTTTGATGTTTTGAATGTTATTGTTTTTTAAAACTTAATTTTATAATTGTTTCATGCTAGTGTATAGAAATCATTGATGTTGTATATTGGCTTTCCACTTGCATTCTTAAAGAGTTTTCTTATTAGGTCTATTATTTTTGTGGCTTCTTTAGGATTTCTATTTTATAAATATATATGTATGTATATTTATAAGCAATATATAGTAGGTAATCAAGGTATTTTTATTATATTATTTGCAAATATGATTTTATTTATCAATATTTTAGCCTTCTATCTTTCTTTTTTATTCTAATTTGTTATGTATGACAGCAGAATGCATTACAATTCATATTACACATATAAAGCACAATTTTTCATATCTATGGTTGTATATAAAGTAGAGTCACACCATTAATGTCTTCATACATCTACTTAGGGTAATGATATCCATCTCATTCCACCATCTTTTTTTATCCCCATTCCCCCTCCCTTCCTCTCCCACCCCTTTGCTGTATCTAGAGTGTCTATTCCTCCCATGCCCCTCCTCCTTATCCCACTATGAATCAGTCTCCTTATATCAGAGAAAACATTTAGCATTTGGCTTTTTGGGATTGGCTAACTTATTGCACTGAGTAGGATTTCCAGGAAAATGCCGAATACTCATGGTGAGAACATTAGGGAGAAAACATTCAATATTTAATTGTTGAATATGTTGTTAATTATAGAATTTTAGAAATGCTTTTTATTAGTTTCAGTAAGTTTATTTCTCTTTCTACTTTGCTAGACAATTTTAAGATAAATGGTTATTGAGTGTTGTCCAAAGTTCTCATCTATTATTTTTTTCTTCTACTTCTATTAAAGTGATCTTTTAGTTATTAAGTTTGTCCATTTGGTTAATTACATTGAGTGATTTAACAAATGTTAAAGCAAAGTGAATTCCTGTACTTAATCCTCACTTGGTTATGATGTATTATCCTTTTTACATATTGATGGATTCAGTTATTCTTTAATACTTATTCTTAAGAATTTTTGTGACATGCTCCTACATATGTTTTTCTGTAATTTTCTTTTAAAGAACTAATGTATCATGAATTTTATGATGAGCTTATGAGTTTTGAAAATCTTCCTTCATTCACTTTTTCAAATTCTGTAATCTTAATAATATTCTTTGACCATTGGGTAAAATTACTAGTGAAAGCATTGGGCTGATTTTTCTTTGTGGGGAGTTTTAATATTACAAATATAGTGTATTTGTTGGATATAGGGTT